GAATGGGGGGATGGGGGAGAAAGGGGGGCATTACTGATTAATTTTTTTAGCAGTTTACTGGGTTTTTTTAGCAGTTTACTGATTTTTTTTTTTTACCAGTTTGGCGATTTTTTTTAGCAGTTCTGTGGGTTTTTTTTAGCCATTTACTGCTTTTCTTTCTCCCTTTACTGATTTTTTTAGCAGTTTAGCCCTTTTTCAGCTCTTTGCCATCTCTGGCAGTGCCCCGGCCCCACCTGGCACTGGGGTGGCGGTGCCCCCCTACCCACACCATAGGGTGACACCCGTTTTTAGGCTCCCAGCCCGGGGGTTTTTGGCAGCAGCGCTTACATTTCTCGCAGGTGGCGCCTGCCGTGCCCGCGGGGCAGCTGCAGGTGAAGCCGTGCCCGTCGTCCCGGCAGGTGCCGCCGTGCCGGCACGGCTGCGACGCGCAGGGCGGCGGGGCGGGCGCCATGCCCGGCGGCTGCGCGGTGGGCAGCGCGGCACGGCTGCTGCCAGCGGTGCCCGTGGGGCTCCTGGCGGTGCCGGCGGTGCCTGCGGGGCTCCTGGTGGTGCCCACAGGGCTCCTGGCAGTGCTGGCGGTGCCCGCGGGGCTCCTGGCGGTGCTGGCGGGCTCACCGGGGCTGCCCACGGTGCCCGTGGGCTGGCCAGGGTGGCCGGCGGTGCCCACAGTGCCCACGGGCTCGCCGGGGCTGCCCACGGGCTGGCCCAGCGCCGCGGTGGCCGCGGGCACCCTGCGGGCGCTGCCCGGCGCCGCGGTGGTGCCCGTGGTGGTGGTGACGGTGGTGGTGACGAGCCGGGGGAGCCAGTCTGGAACACAGCGGGGGTTTGGGTCAGCTGGGATTGGGGTTTGGGTCAGCTGGGGTTGGGGTTTGGGTCAGCTGGGGTTGGGGTTTGGGTCAGCTGGGGTTGGGGTTTGGGTCAGNCTGGGATTGGGGTCAGTTGTGGGTTAGCTTTAGGGTTAGGTGTGGGTCAGGTTTAGGGTCAGGTGTGGATTAGCTTTAGGGTCAGGTATGAGCTAGGTTTAGTGTCAGGTGTGGGTTAAGTGTGGGTTAGGTTTAGGGTTAGGTGTGAGTTAGGTGTGGGTCACGTTTAGGGTTAGGTGTGGGTTAGTTTTAGGGTTAGCTTTAGGGTTAGGTGTGGGTTAGCTTTAGGGTCAGGTATGAGCTAGGTTTAGGGTCAGGTGTGGGTCAGGTTTAGGGTTAGGTGTGGGTTAGGTTTAGGGTTAGGTGTGGGTTAGGTTTAGGGTTAGCTATGGGCTGGTTTTAGGGTTTGGGTTGGGGTCAGGTGTGGGTGATGAGAGGAGCAGCCGGGGTGGTCACGGAGGAGGGATTTGCAGTCTAAGAGGCCTCAAAGCAGACCCAGT